ATAACATTGTGACCACCTCCTCGTTTCTACGCTCACTGTCCATTTTATCAGCTCCACTTACTCTATAGGTGCACTTTGTAGTTCTACAGTTACAGACTGTAGTCCATCTGTTTCTCTAATACTTTGTTAGCCCCCTTTTACCCTGTTCTTCAGTGGTCAGGACCCCCATGGACCCTCACAGAGCAGGTACTATTTGGGTGGTGGATCATTCTCAGCAAAAATATCCAGACAACAGTGTCCTGTGGGCAGCGTCCTGTGACCACTGATGAAGGACTAGAGGATGACCAACACAGACTGTGCAGCAGCAGATGAGCTGTTGTCTCTGACTTTACATCTACAAGGTGGAGACAAGGTAGGAGTGTCTAATAGAGTGGACAGTGAGTGGACACAGTGTTTAAAAACTCCAGCAGCACTGCTGTGTCTGATCCACTCAGACCAGCACAACACACACTAACACACCACCACCACATCAGTGTTACTGCAGTGCTGAGAATAATCCACCACCCAAATAGTACCTGCTCTGTGAGGGTCCATGGGGGTCCTGACCACTGAAGAACAGGGTAAAAGGGGGTTAACAATATATGTAAAATAATATGTCCAGTGAAATCTTCACTGTGATTCTAAAATGTGGAAAACAGTAAAAAAGGTGTGTCCAAACTTTTGACTGGTACTGTTTTCAAAAAAAAAAATGAATATCAGCTTATGATATCACAGATATGAAATATGTTTGGTATCACCTTATTTTGAGAGTCCACTGGAGATGCTTTGTAGATGCTCACCTTCCATCACCTTTCATTGTTAACTAACATTTAACTAAACTGAAGTGAGCTTTACGTTTAATGTGGTAGATTCTTTCAAATCTAACTCTGAACCTAAACCTAAGCTTAACTTCAACCCAAAATCTAAACCCAATCCTGACCCTGAGTGTCACCAGATAGTCTGTTAACTAATTAAATTAAAGTAGATAATCTACAGGGGATTATCAAAATAAAGGGTGACCCAATTTTTTTTGTTCTATTGCGTTCGCCAGAATTATTTGGAAAAGAGTGAAAAGAAGCAAGAAAACAACCCAGTACAGCCAGTTTTTCCTCTTAACCCCAAACGTAGCTGGAAAAATTCTCTCATCTGAAGTTTGCTTCTCTAGTTTTGTGCCAGAGCCAGGAGTGCAGAGTTAATATTAGCGGACACAGTTTGAAACCCTAAAGGTGGTACTGCCAGAGAACTTGTAGAGAGGAGAATTACCACTCCATAATGTCTTCTGGGTTTCTCTAACACTAGAGGGCGCTCCTGAGCGGGTCCAAAATGAATGGGTTATTATGGAGCATTTGAGCAAAATCATAGTTTATAAATGCTTAAACATTTTTAATGTAGAATAATACAATCATTTCCTGAACACAGAACAGCATAAAACATTTTAACACTGCTGTTATGTTTTTAAGAGCTTTTAAACTCGAGTTGTAAGAGTTTTTTATAGATATCACTTTGACAGTGTCAGAAACTACCCAAGCAAGTCTATTTGAGATTACTGAACAACTCGACCCGGTGTGTGTGATGATTCAGGCCTGCAGTGGGCACCATGCTAACTGCTGGGGCATAAGCATCCATTCCTCGTTAGCTACATTAGCCTCGTAGCTCCAGTGCAAACCTAAAGAAGCAAACTTCAGACACCGCCTCTTTAGCTTCATTTGCTTGGCTCTCCTTCCTAAATCGAGTATTCTGGACATCCTGATCGAGAGCTGAAAGAAATTCCGCCTCCCTTTAATCTCTAATCTGCCCCCTACCGCACATCCGACCGCACGGGCCTCCTCAGCCGAAGAGCTTGAGGAAGCAGGGGTGGCAGTAGGGTTTGTTCTCCTGCTCCTTGAAGCAGCCCTTGCTGAGCGGCTTCAGGCAGAAGTTGCACACCAGGTGGTGGGGATGGAACTTGGCGCCCATGGCCGTGACGCAGCGGCCCAGGATGGGCTCCCTGCACGCCTGGCACACGCTGCCACGGGACTGGTGGTAGTGCGCCTCACATAACGGCTGGCCCTCGTGCTCGAAGAAGCTTCCATTCACAAACGGACTGAAACACTCCTGTAGAGGAGAGAGGAGACAAACGACGCGAATAAGTAGAGGGCAGTGCATTTTTTTTTTATTTTTCCCCAATTTTCTCCCCGATTTAGTCATTTCCAATTCCACCTGCTAGTTAGGATTCCCCCAGTCACACAATACTATCAACGCTAGGAGGGCGAAGGCCAGCACAGGCTTCCTCCGAGACCTGTGAAACCAGCCACCGCTTCTTTTCGAACTGCCGCTCACACAACGTCACTGGACAGCTGAACGCGCTCAGAGGAAAGCGCCAACCGCCAGATCTGTTACGTCAGCTAACAGACGCCTGCGCTGACTAGCATCGCGTTGAGTGATGGGTGGAGACAGGGTGCCATCATACCCACCCAGAGAGTGAGGACAACTGTCTCTCTTGAACTCCCAGCCACTGATAGCTGTAGCATCACCAGGGAGCGAACTTGTGATCTCCAGATGAGAGGACCAATGCTTTTTTTAAAATGTTCATTATATTTTTATTTTTATTTAGTTTTTCATTTTTGGGTTTTGATTTCAGTTTAGTTTCAGTTAGTCTTGAGTGCAGTTTCAGTTTTTACATAGTTTTATTTAGTTTTACTTTTTAGTATTATGCTGAATGCTGTAATTCATAGTATTTGATCGAGTCATTAAGAAGAACATCATTTCATTTTCATGGATCACATGATGAGGTTTTTACTGAGACGTGTCACAATGACTTTTCCTTAGTCTGTACTGGAGCCAAAACTCGGGAGAGTCTTTTCAGGCTTTCAGAAACCCCCTGCATTTACCATCTTACTTACAGGAATCAAATGTCCCTGTTTAAGGTGAAGCTCCAATAAGCAATAATAATCAGTGTGGAAAGTGAATGTACACCATTGTTAGCTTAGTTAGCTTAACACTGCAAATCCCATCAGGGTTTGCCAAAGCTGGACAGTCCAGGGTCTGTGGGGTGTCAAGCAAGCATCCAGTATTTCTTTTATTACAACCCCCTAATCTGTCTTTTAGTGCAACACCCTTAAATCTCATAGATGTGCTTGCGTACATTAGCATGATCATAGGATAAACCAAACCGGTAAAACAGGTTACTGTCTTCTTCAGTTCCTCTGCCACTTCACTATCAAGAGAAATGTAATAGTCCATTAATTCTCATATACTGTTAGGCCAAAGCTATTGAGCTGTAGCCCTGAACATATTTTTAAAGTCCAGAAAAAGATCCAGGCCTACTGAAAGTTCGGTTCTGTACTCCACTAGCTTAGGCCTAGTCACACCCCTGCTTAAAGGCAAGCTCATTGTACAGGCAAGACACACTGAAAGGGTCAAACAGGTCTTTGTCTAATAATGACGACCACGTTGTCTTCTTTTTACGAATACAGTGAATACTGACTAAACCTTTGAACACAAAGGCCAAACCCAGTAAGAGAACGACAGCGTCTGCTACTCACCCTGCAGACGAAGCACTGCGGATGCCACAGCGCGTTGAGGGCGGAGATGTAATTCTCCATGATGGGCTGAGAACAGCCTTGGCAGCGGGAGGCAAAAAGGGCCAAAAAGCACTGCTGGCAGTACTGCTGCCCCTCACGGTCATGGAACCCTGAAACAGGAGGAAACAGGCGGAGATCAGAAGACTGGGTGTGTGTGTGTGTGTGTGTGTGTGTGTGTGTGTGTGTGTATCTCATCCAAAATCATGTAAAATGTATTTAACATTCATTGTATTTTATTATGTTCATTGGATTTCTTATAGAACTGCACAACACAAACCAGCGACTACATTGCTACACACTGTGACTGCATATTAAAAATATGCTGGTGAATCAAAACATGATTGGCCTGGATTACATTAACACTTCTATTTATCAAAACTTTTTTATCTATTACTATTACTATTATTATTATTATCATTATTATTATTATTAGCAGCTTTATTATCTCTGAGAATACAAATATCAGTGACTTGATCATGACATCTTTGCACTCTTAAAGAAAATGGTTCCATATAGTACTATGAACACTCAAAGAACCCTTCGCATGATTAAATATGAAAATGTTCTTCAGACTGGTGGAGAAAGTGCTCTAGATATATAGAACCTTTCTTATAAAGGGTTCCATAAGGCACCAAAAAGGGTTCGACGTCAAGCTTGCTACAATAGAAGAGCCCTTTTTGGTGCCATACAGAACCATCTACAGCACATTCTCCAACAATCAGAAGAACCATTTCACCATACAAAGATCTCTTTAATCATGCAAAGGGTTCTTTGAGTGTTCATAGTACTATATGGAACCATTTCCTTTACTGAAGAACCCTTGAATTTCCTCTCTTTTTGAAACAGTATTAAAGTTTAAAAATGTTTTTTGTGATGTCATAAAAAAACCAATGCATTTACATATATCCACCCATTCAGCCTACAGAAGTTTAGCCCCGCCCACTCACACTGAAGTGGGCGTGCCTTCTTGTTTGAAGTTTTCTGAATGAGGCATAATACAGGCAGCCATTCAGAACAGAGGATATTTACATATATCAGTCTTTAAGGCACAGTAACAGAGACTGTTTCACTCTGAGGTATAAATAGATGCTGGAAATGGCTGAAAAAATATTTTTGGTACATAAAAGTGCACAAAGTATCATAAACGGTATCCATCATGAAAAATTAACCCTTGTGTGGTGTTCAGGTCTGTGGGACCCATTTTCAATGTTTACCAAAATAAAAAATGATGTGATTTATTATTATTCCAACATCAGATTCTTGGCCTTTGCTCATTTTCTGTGAAGAACATATAAAATAACCCATTTTCAGTGTCTTCACTCTGTTCACCCCCCACACATTTATATTACACATGTGGTGTTGGGCTGAACCTGTGGGGAGTAAAAGTGTGGAGGTGCTGTGTCCTTCACTCTGTTCTCCTCCTACATGGCCTGCTGATAGTGTGTGTGTGTCTGTATGTGTGCGTGGCTGTATTGATTTAATAAAACAATAATGTGGTGGGTCCAGCAGACCACTGAGTAACAAACACATCAACACCACACAAGGGTTAAATACAAAAAAAAAATGTAGGCTATGGGCCTTTATAATCCTAATACCTTCATCTCCAAACGTCCGATTGCACTTCACACAGCAGAAGCACTCGGGATGCCAATTCTTATCCAACGCGGTGACCATTTTCTACACAAATACACAAAAACAAGGGAGACTTTAAGAACTGACGCAATACACCGCTGATAGACGCTTGGTTACAGTTCATAACACTCCACATTATATGAGTCATGTTTTGAATACACACTGAAAGTGTGCGCTTACGTTCAGAATGGGCTTGTTGCACTGTGCGCAGTGAGGCGAGTACAGGCTGAAGTAGTCAGGCTCACAGTACGGCCGGCTGTCTTTCTCAAAGAAGTTCCGGTTTCCCAGTTCACACTCGCACTCAGAACACACAAAGTGCTCCGGGTGCCAAACTCGGCCCAGGGCCGTCACCACCTATGGTCAGAAACAGGGTATTATGGGTAATGTACACATACAGAAGCGTTTTCTTATAACACACATACATAACATGATGCCAGTAACAATAAACGTTATACATTTCAAATAATTTGCTGTACATCGTTCAGAATGATAAAACAACAAACTAACTGCATATAATAAAATGTGTACTGATAAAATATCGAGGTGATACTTCAAAAAAACTGCTGTAAATAATTACACTGAATGATATATCCTATAGTATATAGGATAGTGTGTATAAAAAAACCTATTCTATTCTATAACGTAGATATAAACACAGAATTAATAATTAACCATTTTATAGTCAAATTAACAACTGGAATATATTAAAAACATTTAACAACACTTAAAAAAGATGGTTCTTCAAGGGTTGGTTGTATATAGCATCAAAAAGGGTTCTTCTATTGTTACGATGTCAGGCTTGTTACAGCAGCAGAACCCTTTTTGGTGCTATATAGAACCCTTTTCAAAAATGTTCTATATAGAATCATCTACAGCACATTCTCCGTCAATCTGAAGAACCATTTCACAATGCAAAAAACCCTGTAATCATGCATAGGGTTCTTTGAGTGTTCACAGTTCTATATAGAGCCATTTTCTTTACTAAAGAACCCTTGAAGAACCATCATTTTAAGTGTGTATAGTATAAAAATGAAATAAATGGCATCACACTAAAAAAAGGATGGTTCTTCAAGGGTAAAGGGGAATGGTTCAAGAGTCCATGGTTCTCTGCATGGTGAAATGGTTCTTCAGACTGACTGAACATGTAAAGAACCATTTAAGAATGAAATAGACGGTTCCTCAAGGGTTCTTTAGAAAAAAAGGTATAAACTATATATAAAACTCAAAGAAAGGGTTCTTTGCATGGTGAAATGGTTCTTCAGATTCATGAAGAATGTGCTGTACATACATATATATATATATATATATATATATATATATATATATATATATATGTATATATATAT